TTATGAATTTTACTATGGATATGTAATATTGTTTTATTGTATTTTATCTATTTAATCCGGCATTAGCTGCTTGTTAGCCACCCTGAGCCGCTTGGAAAGGCGGGATATAAATCTCAATCAATCAATAAAAATAAATAAGTGTGCAGACTCTAATCTGGGAGAACAGGGTTTGATTCCTCACTCTTCCACTTGCAGCTTCTGAATGACCTTGGGCAAGCCATAGTTCTGTCAGAGCTGTCCTAGAAAAAGAGCAGTTTCTGTCAGAGCTCTCTCAGCCCCACCTACCTCACGGGGTGTCTGTTGTGGGGAGGGGAAGGGAAAGGAGTTTGTAAACCGCTCTGAGACTCCCGGGGTATAAATCCAATCTCTTCTTCTCTCTTATTATTATTATAGTCAGTAACCACCTGGAGCTGCAGTGGCTCAAGTGGTTAAGACGCTGAACTGCAGGCTGTGAAAGGTCAGTAATTCAGCAGTTCAAGACCCGGGTGCCACATGACGGAGTGAGCTCCCGTCTCTAGTTCCAGCTCCTGCCAACCTAGCAGTTCGAAAGCAAGAAATTGCAAGTAGATAAATAGGTACCACTTCGGTGGGAAGGTAACAGCGTTCCGTGCACCTTGGTGTTTAGTCATGCTGGCCACATGACCACGGAAACGTCTTTGGACAGCGCTGGCTTTTCTGCTTTGAAACGGAGATGAGCACCGCAACCCTAGAGTTGTATTCGACTGGCTTTTGAGCAAGGGAACCTTTACCTTTACCTAACCACCTGGAACTTCTATCTCTGTTGGAGGTAGGCTTAGCTAAGCCTTTCTGCCTCTGAGCTGTGCAAATCTTCCCTCCCTCCAACTTGTGATTGGTTTTTTAATTCTAATGGGAAATATTGGCATATCCCACTGTGGATCGCCCACGTGTGATGTGTCATATTCTCTGTATGAAAAAAGTGTAAAATATTGTGCGTCAATTAATGCATCTGACATTTGAGGAACATAGCTAGAGAACAAGGTTTCGGTAACCAGGACTAGGGGAGACTTGCTCATTCAGAGATAACCATGGGGGGGTCTCTTCAGTATGGGAATTCTTCCAAGCAGGGAAAAAGTTAGGAAAGGAAGTGGATTACTCAAAGGCCTAGTCTTACCAAGGTCTGTAGAGGCAGCAGGAAATAGTCTGCAGACAGGCCCTTTGTACGTATGTGTACAAGTGCACGGCTATTAAAAGTTATTGCATTCTTTTCCTGATACTCCCCCAAAAAATATTAAAAGCTCTTTCTATCCAATATGCATTGTCTGGCTTTAGATATATACTAAACTATTTGTTCACGTATCATACGCAGAAGTTTTGCTTTTCTGTGTTAGAACTGGTAGCAAATGGCTCTAATGGACAGGGAACAGGCTGTGAGACTGGAAAACTCAGTTCTGCTGCTTTTAGAACACTCTATAAATACTGCAGTTTGTGTTTCGGTGTGCACTGTTGTAGAACTGTTCCAGATGTAATCATTGATATTTCTATATTCGTATATACTTGATGAACGCAGTTATGGAAATTCAGTTCTGCTGCTTTTAGAACACACTATAAATACTGCAGTTTGTGTTCCAGCGTGCACTGTTGTAGAACTATTCCAGATGTAATCATTGATATTTCTATATTCGTATATACTTGATGAACGCAGTTATGGAAATACCGTGTTGTTCTTTGTGAGTGCATTTGAGATCATCTTTTAATGTATTCTTAACTTTGTGCACTTAAAGTTCATCAGCTTTTGAACACAGGTTCCCAGTTTCCTTTAATTGGACTCCCGTGTTTCATTATCCTCATTAAACTCTTTAGATTTTGAGTTGGAAGTATCCAAGCATCTCCAGTAAGTTAAAACTTAACGGCTGTAGTTAATTAACCTGCTTTTAACTGGTATCTCCAACTGTGTCCTTCTTTTAGTTCCGAACAAGATAAAGAAGAATGGATAAAGGTAAATCTACCTAACTTATTAAGGCTTGTGCAACAATAAACTTGGTAGTCTTTAAGGTGTCAAAGGACTCGGCACTAAATATCCTTCTGGAATCTGCCTCATATGGGATTGTTACAAAGTAAACTTCAGGTGAAGAATGACATACGTAAATCTGATGCAGATCCTCGCTCACTTTTATTTAGACTGACGTACAAGCTTCCTAGCAAAACAGAGCACAGGAACATCCCTTTCTTCCTGTTTGTAGTAGAACTGTCCTATGCAGAGTGCTGACTGGCTGGCCCTTGTGGCAGTCCTAAAAATGCCTTCCCTTCCTCTGCCCCTAGAGCAAGGTTTCAGGGCTTTGTACAAGCTTAAAGTAGCTAAATATGCCAGGTGTCTGGGAAAAGAGGTTTTTAAAAAATGCTAAGAGCCTGCCTGAGCATGGTGGGGAGGGGTGAAAATCTGTGCTGGAGTCAAAGCCAGGGACCTGTTTTAGTAGAGGAGTGAAGCAGGAACAAGCAGAGCTTTCCCGTGAAGCAGTGCAGTTTGTATGTGTTCCTGGAGGAGGCAATGGGTGCTCATGCTCTTTGGTGCAGCGGTGTGGTGATTAAGAGTGGCGGACTCTAATCTGGAGAACTGGGTTTGATTCCCCACTCCTCCACATGAAGCCACCTGGGTGACCTTGGGCGAGCCATAGTCCTCTCAGAGCTGTTCTCTCAAGAGCAGTTCTCTTAGACCTCTCTCAGCCCCACCTACCTCACAGGGTGTCTGTTGTGAGGAGGGGAAGTGAAGAAGATTGTAAACTGCTCTCAGTGAAGGGCGGGATATAAATCCAACTCTTCTCTTCCAGTAGTTGTAGTTTTTTAAAAATAATAATATTATAGTGAAATCAGGCTTGTTTCTGCTTAATATTGATGACATTCAGTTTATCTATATTTGGTTCTGTCAGTTCCTAGGTTTGAGGACAAATTAAATTAAAGCGAGGACAAATAGATTAACAGATTAAATTAAAGCAAGGACAAATAGATTAAAAAATAGTTTTTATTCGAGAGCTATTATTGCCTTAAATGCTGTATGAAATTGGAATTGGGTGACATTGGTGGTTTTAAGGTTTTATGTGAACCTTAAGGGAGTTATGGGACAGTTGTGAATGGTGTGTGAGTGTATATGAATATTGTTGTAAATCACCGAAATGATTGCATCTTTAATTTCGTTGTACTATGTACAATGACAATAAAGTATATTGTTGTTGTTGTTGTTGTTATTATTATTGAGATTCCTCATCTGTTTAATGTGTTGCAGGCTCTTCAGAGTACCATAGATGCTTTTCAGCAGAGGAATGAAACATTCAGACATGCTATTGCAAAAGAGTATGATGACATGCCTATAGAAGTTTCTGTAAGTGAGAGGTGCTTTCAGACTTTTAAATGTGGTTGATAAGACTATGACTGCATCACTTCAAGCTCTTGGAACCCGATCCAGAAAATACTGCCCGTAGTACACACAGACCACATCTTATACGATGTCTTGTCCCAGTAGTCTTAAGTGCCGGTTCATACCATGTGTTGTCATTAGCAGGAGCACAACCTTTCCCCCTACATACATATGCATGAAATCAAATGTAGTGTGAAATTCTGGAACCAGAGGGGCTGTGAATGTTCATGAAGTGTTCCCACACATGTAGAGTGGCAGCAGAGCCCCCCCCCCCCCCCCCCATTCTTGCATCTTCTCTGGAGAGAGGGGTTTCCTACTGGGTTTCTTCTCCATCCGAGCGTATGTTCTGCTAAGGTGGAGACTGCTTGCAGAAACGGAAAAGATGCTGCACTCCTTATCATGGGAATTACTATCTTATGCGTAGGTAGAACAAACATCTCACTCCAGCCATTGTTGGGCAATTCCTCTTCCAGTGGTACCACTATCTCTCTTAAACTGTTTTTATGCAGCAGCACACAATATTTATTTACTTAAAACGTTTGTAGGCTGTTTCCGCCCTATTAGGGTCCACAAGACAGCAAAACATAAAAAAATTAAAATACCTGAGCAGAGGTCCATGAGTGGCTATTAGCCACAAGGTATAGATAGGAACTCTCGGTCTGGGGCAAGTGATGCTCTGTTTTTTGGGTGCTGGGGGGGGGCAACAGCAGGAGGGCTTCTAGCGTCCTGGCCCCACTGATAAGACCTCCTGATGGCACCTGGTATTTTTGGCCACTGTGTGACAGAGTGTTTGACTGGATGGGCCATTGGCCTGATCCAACATTGGCTTCTCTGATGTTCTTATGTAATTAAAAATATAGTTAAAATTATAAAATAATTCTGTTAAAAACACATAAGCAAACAACACTATAAGTGGGCCTGCTAACCGCTTTTTGGGGGTATGCCAGATGAAGTAAAAAGGTCTTCATCTGGCTGGCGAAAGAACCCAATAGTGGGAGACAGAAGAATCTCCCGGGAGGGGAGAGTGTGGAGTTCCGAAGTTTTCGTGCCATGACCAAGAGAGCTTTCTCAGGTTCCTGCCCTCCTAGCTTCAGATGGCAAGGGCAACCAAAGCAAGGCCTCTGAAGGTGACTGGAGTACAATGGGTAGATTCGTATGGGAGGAGGCAGCCCTTAAAGTACGTTGATCCCAAACCGTACAGGGCTTTAAAGGTCAATACCAGCACCTTGAACTGAGCCCAGAAATGAAATTATAGCTTTGGAAAAAGTGCAGAAAAGGGCAACTCGAATGATAAAAGGGTTGGAACACTTTCCCTATGAGGAAAGGTTAAAGCGCTTAGGGCTTTTTAGCTTGGAGAAAAGATGACTGAGGGGTGACATGATCGAGGTTTATAAGATTAATCATGGGAAAGAGCAGGTAGAGAAAGAGGTACTTTTCTCCCTTTCTCACAATACAAGAACTCGTGGGCACTCCATGAAACTGCAGAGCGGTCGGGTTAGAACGGATAAAAGGAAGTACTTCTTCACCCAAAGAGTGATTAACACATGGAATTCACTGCCACAGGAAGTGGTGGCGGCTACAGGCATGGACGGCTTCAAAAGGGAATTAGATAAGCATATGGAGCAGAGGTCCATCAGTGGCTATTAGCCACAAGGTATAGATAGGGGCTCTGGGGCAAGTGATGCTTTGTCTTCTTGGTGCTTGGGGGGGGGGGCAACAGTGGGAGGGCTTCTAATGTCCTGGCCCCCCTGGGGGACCTCCTGATGGCACTGGTATTTCTGGCCACTGTGTGACACAGAGTGTTGGACTGGATGGGCCTTTGGCCTGATCCAACATTGGCGTCTCTTATGTTCTTATGAACCAGAAACCAGTGCAGATGGAACAAGATGGGAGTGATATAGTCCCTATGACCCACTCAAATCAAGACTCTGGCTGCAGCATTCTTTACCAACTGTAGTTTCTGAACAGGCTTTAAGGGCAGCCCCACATACAGCGCACTGTAGTAATCTAATCTAGATGTTACCAGGGCATGCAGCACAGTGCCAAGAACTTTTTCTGCCCAAGAAGGGCCACAGCTGGCTCACCAGCCAAAGCTAGTGAAAGGCATCCCTGTCTATCACTGCCACCTTTTTGTCCAATGGGAGGCCCAAGTCCAGGAGCACCCCCAAGCTACAAACCTGTTCCTTTAGGGGGGAGTGCAGTCCCTTCCAGAACAGGGGATAGCCCATTTCGTGTGTCAGACCCGTCCCCCACCAGTTTTGTCTGCCCCCCACCTCTGTTTTGTCGGGATTAAGTTTCAGCTTGTTAACCTTCATCCATTCAAAAACTGCCTCCGGGCACCTGTTCATGGTTTCACAGCCACTATTTTCCTAGTTGGCATTTTAAAGAAATCTGCCTGGAAGAATAGCCTATAATATTAGGAAGAGGCAACATGCTTATATTGAATATTATCTGTTTTTTTAGACTTCTGGTTGGTTCTACAACCCAAATCCTATTTCATTGTTTACTGAATGTCCCTTCCCATTGATGGTATTGATTTGCCCGGTGTGGGTCTGCCTCAAATCCCAGTGGGAAAGGTGGACTAAAAATAACGTAAATAAATAAATACGCAAAGAGCAGCACACAGAGAGACTGCAATTACAGCCTTATCGTTATTAACTATTAGCAGTGGAGTATTTCTTGAGAGTAGAAAGCACACACTTAACATTTTGAATCTTTTTTTCCAATCGGTATAATACAGAACAATTAATTCCCCCCCCTTCAACGTGTTAAATCAGTCTGTCACTCTTTAATGGGATTATACTACTGTCAGGCTGTGACTGGCCAGAGTCCAGGGCAAGGTGTACCCTCCAGCAGGGCTTTTTTTTGTAGAAAAAGCCCAGCATAGCTCATTCGCATATTAGGCCACATCCCATGCCTTCCCTAGGCTTGCCTGGGTGCCCCGCGGATGTGGGGAGCCCAAGCAAGCCAGCTCTTGGAGGGGAGGGGAGGCAGATCCTTCCAGGGGGGCCCTGGCCCGTCCACCTCGGAGTCGCCGGGGGGGGGTCGCTCTCCAGGCCTTCCCTCTGTAGCCACACATGCAGAGGTTTTGGCTGTAGTGGCCGTGGCCAACTCTGAAGCCAGCCGGAACTCCGTTCCTGTGTGTTCCTGCCCAAAAATAGCCCTGGCTCCAGCATCTTTCCTTCAGCAAGCCCAAGGGTTGGACCTCAGTTTAGGGAGAGGAGAAAGGTTTAAGCTGCACCCTGAGCCAATGGCCGTCCTGGCTGGGCCCTCTCCTCCTTTGCTGCCTTCCCCTGAGGCTTTAAGAGTCCTGTACAGACCCCAGTTTCTGCCAGCCTCCTCTGACCTGTTCCTGGGTGCAGGCTACTGCCTAAGCTCTGCCTTCCTTCTGAGACACACGCTGTGCCTGCTGGGTTCTGAGGCCGCTGCTGGCACATATTCAGGTGTGGCCTCACCCTTGCTCTTTACTCCACAGCCCTTGGTTGGGGTTCCTGATTCTGCTGTGCCTAGGTGAGGCTGTCCCCTGCTGGAATTCCCTGCAGAGCAAGTTAGTGCAGGGGCGGACTGCCGCTAGACTAGTATCCAACTTCCAGACGGCAGATGGAGATCTCCCACTATTACAATTGAGCTCTAAATGACCAAGATCAATTCCCCTAGAGAAAATGGCTGCTTTGGAGGGTGGATTCTATGGCACTGTATCCTGCTGAGGTCCCTCCCCTCCCTAAACCCCGCCCTCCCCAAGCTCCACCCCCCCAAATTCCCAGGTATTTTCCAACCCAGGGCTGGCAACCCTAGCTGCCGCGCTCAGACAGCTATTTCTGATCCCCCTGTTCTTGCCGCTTTGGGTGGCACCTATATTCTGGTGTTTGGCACTGTGTCATTGAGGTTTAAGAACAGCTTGTGTGTTGCTCTTTCTCTGCTGAAGTCATAGCGATTCACTTTCTGTGCTTGCAGTTGATTTCCCCCCCCCCCTTCTCTCCCTCCCCTTTCAGAATGCTGAGCTTGGGAAGAGAGCACCAAGATGGATTCGAGACAACGAAGTGACCATGTGTATGAAATGCAAGGAGCCCTTCAATGCGCTGACCAGGAGGAGACACCACTGCCGAGCATGTGGGCATGTAAGCACAAAGCCCCTTCTGCTAGTAGGTTAGCAGATGCTGAAACTGCCAAAGACTTGTTCAGAAACTCCATCTAGCGGCTGTGTCCACATATTGCAGCTGGCTTTTAGCACAAAAGGTCAAAACGTGGACAGAAGCTCCCCTGTGTGAACCCAAACAGAGCCGCCTTGTGGATGATACAGGAAATTGTCAACATTGTTCATTTAGCAAATGATTTTAATGCAATGCAACGTTTGTCATATGGTATTCTAGGCAAGCAGGAATGCCAGTTTATCACATATGCCAGTTTCCTGTACTTTACCCCGTGTGCATTTTGTTTTGACACTTCCTCCCAGCAGCATTCTCACCCATCTTTCCCCTTCTTCCTGTTCATGTCTTCAGTGCCCTCCCAGGTGGCAATGAGTCATGTCTCTTCACCCCACCCACTGACCTTACAAGCCAAGCTGCAAACAAGATGCTAGTTAATAGAGTTTTCTGGAACTTAAAATGCTGGATTACAAGGCTTGCACATGGGGTGAACCGGCCGTTAATCTCACCAAGACAATTTCCAGTGGGCTTCTGTGCTGAAGGGCCAGTGGCAAGGCTAAAGGGGCTATCAGTCTCAGTGGCCAGCAGAGGCACCTACAGAGTACAAGGAGAGAAAAATACATCCTCCAAGGGGGGGATGATCTAGGGATAGGGTTGCCATGCACCCAGCAGAGGGGTTGGGGGCAGGGACGTGGTGTGGGACAGTGTCATGAGCCTGATGACATCCATAAAGTTTCTGGCAATTCCTAGAGCTACCTGTTGTCACGTCCAGGTTTTCCCTGGAAGTGACATAAGGGTGTGAACAATGTCATTGGCCTGTTTTAACTTTTCCTGTCCATTTCCAAGCGGTGGTGGGCAACGGGTCCTCAGGGCACGGGATCCCTCAAATGGGGTGGGGGTGGCACCCAATCCAGGGGAGATGGCCCTGCCCTGGAAGGGAAGGACTGCTCCAGGACCCCTTTCAACAGCAGATCCCTCCACTTTCCTCAGGCTTCCCTGACAGCCCCCACGTAGCCCAGATTTTTGAGACAGAAACCCACTGTTTTTATTGCAGTCCCAAAGCTGCTACTTCTCTAGTGAGTATGCTACATTTAGGATTAGAGCCAGAACTTGATACCTGTTAGTTTGGAAGTAATGCCCATTGAAATTCAATGGCCTTTACTTAGGGTTGCCAGCCCCCAGGGCCGGGCGGGGGTTTCCCCGCTTTTGGGGGCTCCAATCCACCCCTAGCCTCAAGAGGGACCACCCCCACCACCCCTCTCCCTCCCCTCCTGCCCATCTTAAAGGGCTTCAGCTGATTGGCGGGGACCACCAGCTGGAGGGCCCTTTAAGTCTAGCAGGAGGGAGGGAGAGGGATGGTCACGGGCCGCACGCTTGACTCGCAAAAAGATCCTTTAAAGGGTCTTTTTGCGAGAATAATTTTCTTTTATATTTCTTCTTCTTTAGGTGGTTTGCTGGAAATGCTCAGATTATAAAGCTCATCTTGAGTATGATGGTGGTAAACTGAACAAGGTTTGTAAGGACTGCTACCACATTATAACAGGATGCACGGACAGCGAAGAAAAGAAAAAAAAAGGAATCTTGGAGGTGATGGCATTTAAATAATTGTTTCAGTGTGTTGTGTTTTGAGTCCAGTGGCACCTTTAAGACCAACAAAGTTTAATTCGAGGCAGTCCCGTAGCCAGGGTGGTGCACCAAGGGACGTGGCCCCACCCAATCATTTGTCATCTCCCTCCAATCAGCACTAAGGGTAGGGAAGACTCTACATAGCAGAGATTCTGTTTTTGCTTCCCAGTCCACCCCTGCTTGTATGGTATGGTACAGGGCCTTAATGTTGGGTCTCCTAAAATGGAAAACTAAAACTGCGTTGGTTTTCCTAGGTCTTAACCAAGCATTAAAAGGAACAGAATGTGGGACCGTGTGCTGTCCTCCTATTCTTAGGGAAGGCAGATTGATCCACAAGAAAAAAAGGGCTGGCTTCATTCTACCTACAGTGTTTGGGGTTTTTTTAAACTCTAGTTAAAGGTGTGCTAATTTTCTGTCTGTCCCTGTTCTCTGTGGCCTTGGTTTTTGCGAGTTAATGATGGAGGCAGTTATGTGGCCTCACGCAGGAAGGCTGATGTATAGAAGTTCCTAGACTTGTGGTTCTGCGAAACAGACATCCCCAGTTTTAAATATCACCATATCAAACAGATGAATAAAAGCCTTAATGATTTCAGAATAATTATTTCTTCTTCTTTAGGTGGTTTGCTGGAAATGCTCAGATTATAAAGCTCATCTTGAGTATGATGGTGGTAAACTGAACAAGGTTTGTAAGGACTGCTACCACATTATAACAGGATGCACGGACAGCGAAGAAAAGAAAAAAAAAGGAATCTTGGAGGTGATGGCATTTAAATAATTGTTTCAGTGTGTTGTGTTTTGAGTCCAGTGGCACCTTTAAGACCAACAAAGTTTAATTCGAGGCAGTCCCGTAGCCAGGGTGGTGCACCAAGGGACGTGGCCCCACCCAATCATTTGTCATCTCCCTCCAATCAGCACTAACGTGAAATCTGTCACAAGTCTTCTGCCAATGAGAGAGGGCATTTCCTTCCCTCCTCCCTCCTCCCTCCAAGGCTTTGCCAATGAGAGTCTCTTTCCCCCCTCCCTCCTAGGCTTTGCTTCCTGCACCAAGTAGTTGATCTGGCTGTGCTCTGAAGCATGTGACACAGCCCTTTTCCCGCCTTAGCTTGCTAGCTCTTGCCAGTCATGGATTCCTCTGATCTGCAGCACTGTAGCACATTAAGGTAGAAGCTTAAAAAAATTTTTTTGCTCTGTCTTAGCCCCGGGTGGGGAGTGTTCAAAGGTGGTTGGAGGGGGTTGGCAGCCGCCACCTCTGTGTTCTGCCTTTCACAAGTGGGCTTGTGACCGTTTTACAGTGTGTGCTGGCGCCCATGCAGCTGTTTTGGCCCTTGAAAACACTTGGGGGGGGGGATTTGGTTTTAAACAAAACTGATTATTGTTTAACCTTCTTTGTAGAATGATCCCTTGTAGAGACTTTGCACTACACCATAGCTTATTCATAATGAAATGAATAAATAACGATGTGCTTACCACCACTGTACTCATTTGCCCCCCTGCCCTAAAAATATTTCTGGTTACAGGCCTGATTTTGTGTGCATGCAGAATACCCAGAATTAAACTTTGTTGGTCTTAAAGGCGCCACTGGACTCAAACTTTGTGTTCTATTGCTTCAGACCAACACGGCTACCCACCTGGATTTGTGTTTAATGTGTTGCATTGCTGTGCATTTCTTGGAATTATATTTCTGTTCAGTTGCATTTGGATACTGAGCTGAGTCTTGGGTTTGTATCCTAATCTCCGTTAGATACAGCTAGAAGCGCAGTTCCGGTGGCTGGTTGAAATGGCACCCGTATGGCATGTGGTAAGCCATTCATGAATCGTGGTTGCCATTGTGCCTTTTGCCTCCATGCAGCTGTGGAACATTTCTGTGGCTGGTGTAAGGCAGTAAAGGAATAATTGAATGGTGACAAATGTCCACATGGCAACATGTCGTGTGAAGCTGTGACCTTTATCTGGCAGCCATTACCAGTACAACAGGCCTAAGGGGTAGGTGTGGCTAATTAATGATCCCTCACCCATAGCTCTTGATATATCATAGGGTAACTGGGAAATTGCAGAAAGGCTACTATCGCATTGATTTAGAAGTTTAACTATTGCCCTTGTATTCAGCTGAAGCTTCCAATGCTGCATTGTTGTTGTCTTCCAGTTAGTTGCTCTATTCATCAGGCTGCTTCTGGTTTTGGCTAGCTAGCCCCTGCCATTATTTGTAGAAAACAGAAGAATATTCCATGTCTAGCGTTTCATTGGGATGGACCCACTTGAAGATTTCGTGGAGGATAGTGGTGGGGTATCTTTCCCCACTGTCCCCCTTCCTCGGGCAGCCTGCTGTTTGAGCCCCAAACTTCTCTCTGAGGCTTGGGAGACCCTTGCAAGCAGAATGCACCACAGGATTGGGTGAGGGTGCAATAAAGGCTATGAGAAATCAAGTAAAGTCTCCTCTTCCATTCATGGCTTGTGTCAGTGGAAAGGAGGGAAAGAAGTGATTTTTGTTTGTCTGCACAGGACAAAATTCAGAATATTCTATAACAACATTTAGAATATTGTACACATTTCTACCTTTTCCCAGGAGGGTACAAAAACCACACCAAATGCACATGCTGATATGGCTAGGCTATCCTGCTTTTTGTTGTGTTTTATATGATGCTTTTAATAGGTGGTTTTATGGCTCTGTTGACTTTAGTGTTTTACTGATATTTGTAACTTGAGAGCTGGTAAAGTTAATGTCTTCAGTAAATGCCTCAAGGGTCAAGACAAGCATGATTCTGCTCAGTTCTTTTTCAGCTGCCACTTTCCTCTGATTTGGCTTAACCATTTGCTGTGATATGACTCTGAGCATGTTTGTACGTTATAATATGGCAGCACTGATAGTATGTAACATTTTTCTTGCACCCTTACAGATTGAATCAGCAGAAGTATCTGGGAACAGTGTGATATGTAGTTTTCTCCAGTACATGGAAAAATCGAAGACTTGGCAAAAGGCTTGGTGTGTGATTCCTAAGCAGGAAGCCCTTGTATTGTACATGTATGGTGCACCACAGGTATGTAGGAAGGAGAAAACAAGAATATATGGAATTTTTTTTGGGGGGGTGTTGGTATTTTTTGATATTTTTCGTGTGGCGACCTCTGGTGACTGACCCCTACTTGGGGGCCTGGAGGATATTCAGAGAGGTGGCTGAATAAAGCCTGCCCCCACCTCCCGACTGCTGGCATTCCAAGGAGGTCTCCCATCCAAGTACTTGCCAGACCCTGCTTAGCTTCCAAGATCGGGCTTGCCTGGGCTATCCAGGTCAGGGCGAATTCTCTGGTTTACGAAGGATAATCCATTAATGCATATGAATTTTTTTTGTGAGCTACCATGCATCTCACTAAAAATGTTCATGTGCTTCTAGTTCCATTTCTTCTTCCTCCTTCATAACCATCTTCCAAAATACAAGGAAGATTTTGACTGGTGATAGATCCTGAGTGCGAGAACCTGTTATGGGAATTTTGGTAATCATTTTGCTTCCCTCTGGTCATCCTGTGCTTGTTTTCAGTGGAATGGTGGAAGGGTGAGGTATGATAAGCTCTGATTGTTCAGGTGACCTGGTAGGAGAAGGCTCTCTCTGCTTCTGCCACATTCCTTGTCCTGTATGTACGTGTGGTTCTTCCAATGTGTGGTTCTTCCAATTCAGTAGAGCTTGCCCCCCCCCCCAGTTAAAAAAAACCCACGGGGCGAATAATTGAAATCTTGCATTTTGATTTACTTCAAAACTTGTTTATTGACATTTAAATTAATGTAATACAGGAGCTTCTCTTTTACCTCGCACCAAAAAGCTCAGATTTTGTTTCAAGATTTTTGTTTCTGTTTATTTAGGACGTAAAAGCTCTGGCTACTATTCCATTGTTGGGCTATGTAGTAGATGATACTCCAAGAAGTGCTGACCTCCCTCACAGTTTCAAACTCACCCAGTCCAAGTCTGTGCACAGTTTCGCTGCAGACAATGAGGAACTGAAGCAGAAGTGGTTGAAAGTCATACATTTGGCTGTTAAAGGTGAAACCCCCGACTGCCCGAATGATTTGCGGCTGAGCTTGGGGGATCAGCATGAAAACTCTGTGAAATTGGATTCTGAAGCTTGAAACAGCAGAAACTCTGTAAGGTGTATATATATATATATATATATATTTTTTTCCAAATCAGACTTGGGTTGACACTACTTCCGAAAATAACAGAAAGAAGCCTCCGGCCTTCTTTACCATGTTTCTTAGCACTTTATGTTGAAAAAGAAAAAAAAAATGCTAATTATTTTAGGGACCCATTTTTTTATATTTATTTTATGTCAATAAAACTAATGAATAGTGCCATTCCACATGTCTTTTCTTAATCAAATGAATGTCTTTTATCAAAAAGTTACCAGCTTTTTAATATGTACAACTTCTCTTTCCCTGATTCCCTGAAAAGTGCATCATATGAACTGAATGCTGTTGGTAGGAAGTGGTTCCCTCATAATGATGCCAATATTGGTATAGCTTGGTTACTCTCTAGTACTCTTAGCTGTGTGTTCAAAGGATATACCCCTATGTTGCCAAAATACATGTGTTGTAGAATTTAAAGGCAGTTTGGTTTCTTGGATTGAAATTGAGGCTCTTGTTACACTGACTTGTACATATGTTCTGTTTTGTGTTTGAGAAAACGAACAATACCCAGAGAGAGCATTGGTGTTTAAAAATTACAAATAATCTTATTAAAAAAAACCCACGTTCTCCTAAATTTTTATTACACAATAAATACAATATATAAGAATAGCTGTGTATGCTATTAGGAAAAAATGTACTATACTTAATTTTGATTTGACTTCATGATACATTCATGCTAACCTCTGATTTATTTAAAATAAAGCATGTATCCTCTTGAAAACGTAAGCAGGGGATTCTGAATTTTAAAAAAAACCTATTGATTTGTTTTAATGATGTCTAATGGTGATAATATTTTTATACATTTAATATAGAGCTTAAAAATAGAAGTGATATAAATGGCATGTAATGAATATGTGAGTTCTGGCTGTGTTTTGAAAAAGCATAATAATTCTTCTCAGTCCTGTGCCTGTTTTACCTTTTGTAAGGTGCGGTGGTGCTACCTTTTTAAAATTACAGCAAGTGCTTCAGTAATTAATAGCCTGGTCTTAAATGATCACTTGTGATCTTGTACTTTGCCTTTATGGTTGGTCACTGTATAACACCCAGACCTTAACAGTATGGCTTAAGGCAGACATCATGCCAAATCATGGTTAAGGAAGACTGGCTATGGTTCAGTGGGACGTCTGAGTTGACAAACCATGGTTTGTTAGTGATGGTAAAGCCAGAATCAGAACCCTTAGTTTGTGCAAACTATAGTTTGGTGCAGTGGCTAAAAATCGACACATCATAATTACAGCTAGTGTTCTGCCAACGAAGCCACTGCGGCGAGAAACTAACAGCGCTGAGTAGGCTAAGACTTAAACCAGGCAAGTTGGTCTGTATAAACCGTGGCTTCCCTGTATGTTTTAGATTCTGAGCCTTGGTTTGAATTCTGAGGTACAGTTAACACAAACCAGGGTTTGGATCAATGTCTGATTTAAGCCTTTGTCAGTGCTTTTTTGTGTTTTTAAAAAAGTGCCAGTACTCATATATAAGGCTGCACCGATTTCTACCAATCCTCGTCCTCAGGACTTGGGAGAGCCCCCCAAAAGGTTGGTGGTACTCAGTACTGATGAGTACCACCACACACAAAAAAAGCCTTTTATAACCTTCGCAAAACTATTCACATATTTCAACAGTTAACAACACTACTGTATTATCTGATCCACATCCATTGAATGGGTGGCAGTTTTGCATTAACGTCTGTGGTATTCAACTGCACTCAGTATCTGCATGGATTATATACATCATAGTGTAATTTACAGAAACTCTTGGTGTCTGTGTGTATGTGTATGTATGCAAGTGTCATTTCTTGCAAAACCTGTAAACTTAGCCCTTAATTATTTTACAAGGAGCCTTGGAAGTATGTATCCAGGTTTTGTAGTGTTGAGCAGATAATTGATAATAGTAGCAGTCTTATTGTAAATTGCTACTTATTCTAAGCATTTATCTAGCATCTTTGGGCTGGAATGTGTGCAATAACTTAAACCTAAAACAATAGCTTTTGGCAAAGACAAATCCAAACTGAGTATATTGTAGCTGGCTTGTGCAATGGGGGGGGAGAATAAGCAGCGGAAGTGTTTTCTGCTAAAGAGCTACAATTCAGAGGGATCAAGTGAGAGTTGTTTTCACAAGTTTATTTGGAGATATGTCCAGAATCTGTAGGGTCCCCCCACCCCCACCCCATTTTAAAGAGTAGAACTACTTCCCCATGCTTTTAAGTTTAAGCCAGTTTTCTCATTCTGGCAAAGCATTCAACATGCAAAATTCTCTTTCCAAATTACTCATGGTATCTGCATACTAGTAATTCTTCTGAATAGCTAAGTAAAACATAAGCAACATAAGTAAAACAGCCCCCACTAAGCACACAGCTAAACATAAGCAGGTTAGGCTTAAACGTGTTTTGTTCTTGCCTTATATTTTTGCACAGAGCTAACTGATGATTGCTAACTTCTAAACCCATGATCATGTGGACAGGCAACACTGCAAAAACCTATGAATTCGTTTTGTCTGTAAATAAACTTTCCTTGTTCCTATAAGGAAAACTGGAGGCTGACTCTTGAGCAGCTGAAGGTTTGGGCGAAGGATATAAAGCCCCGCCTTCCTTTCCCGTTGAAGGGGCATGGAATTTAAGGGGCTGTGAGTTTTTGGAACTTCCTTTGAAAGCACATTTTTTCCTATCATGTTGGTCTCATTTCTGCTACCTTGGTTGGTGTGGAATGGGCTATACCAGGGAGTAGGGTTTTGGGGTTTTTTTGGAAAGGAGGTGCCGGAACTCTCAAGAGGGAAATGAAGTTTTCAGCCTGTAAACTGAAAACTCATGAATTCTGAAACATTTTAAAAAGAATTCTGTCGAAGAGGTTCCAGAACTCCGTTCCGGCACGTTCCCCCAGGGGGGAAAAAAGCCCTGGCAGGGAGGACAAGCACAAAGGTAACTTCAAATTGTCCTCTTCTTGCCCCTTCCTTTGTGTCTGTGTGTGAGCGAAGTAAACCCTAGTAAGAAATAGCACCTATCTAGCACTTAATAATGTGAAAGCACTTCCCCATACTTTGCGTCTCCTAAGCACATTTCTGTAGAAGCAAATTCCACAGATATTAATGAGAATTAAGCTGCATTTACAGGGAGATTCTTTTTCTTTATCTTGGATTCTAATCTGCCCAGTGGTATGTGTATGTGTTTGAAGCATCCACACGACATCCTCCTCTGATCATCCACTGTCCAGGCTTTTCTTCTTCTTAGGATGTAGTCCAAGAGCATTAAGCAAGCAATCTGCATGGGAATGTGAGCATTTTTTACTGCCCCACCCACACAAGCCCCATTGGGAACTACTGGATTTTATTTTTTTTTCTTTCGTCTTTTTATGTTAAGGGAAACTGGAGGCTGATTCTCCAGCAGTTGAAATTTGGGGGGTAAGGACTGGCCTTTCAGTAATAAATTGTTCTGCTTCTTTTTAGTTGATTCCAGGGCTTTTCAGTTTATTATGGAGTTTACATGCAGGAAGACTCGGTAATGCAAAGACCTCTCTGTAAGTGGTATATATTTTACAAATTGTTGTGGCATCTTTTCTGAATAAAATAATACTGGTGTCATTGCAAGTTTTTAGAGCTGGTATGTTGGCTTTAAATAACAAAGTTCCCCGTGAACAGAAAAAAATCTTTAGAAAATGTGATTATATTTGGTACAGGTTGTTGTTAAAACTGTCTTGACTTAAAAGTACACGAATGACTGCCCTTTTTCCCCAACCTTCTCTCTCCAGCTTCCTGTTTGGAGACCTTATTAAAAGCTTTCTTTTTTAGCAGCCTGCCTGAAGTTGCTATGAGATACTAAAAATAACTATTCCGTTTCTGTGAACCACATTTGGATGTTTAAATTTGAATATGTACCACTTTTGTGCAGTTCTCTCAGACTAATGCTTTGCAGTTTTGTGTGTGGTATTTAAACCAGACCACCACTGTTTAAATCGTATTGGGCTGGTACAAATAGAACATTAGCTATGAACTATATGTAACAACCTGGGAGCCAAATTTAAGTAATGCACACTCCTCACTTTCCCTATCTTAACCCCGGTTAATGTTTTCATTGTTTGGGGCATTAACTTCAGATAAGATTAACAATATTATCCTTTAATCCAGGATCTGAAACAGCACAAGGGCTTTTTAATCCATGATGTGGAACCCACCAGTGCATGAGACCACATTGTAAGTTAAGGGGAAACCTGGAGTAGAACTAGCAGCAGTAAGAATTTGCTTTCGAATGTATAGGAGCTATGGAGAGGAGTCACACAATTAATGCTTTGTGGTGCCTATACATCTGTTGTGCATCCACAGAGCCTTGATTTCAACATTTCTAGAGCTAGGTTTTAGATGTTTCTGAATCATGGCTTGGAGTGAATGCCACAGCTGTTCATTGAAAAATCATCAGTTACAGATAAGCAATCAGGTGTAATAAGCAGCCACCTCTCCTGCATCCGAGCACTGAGTTCCCAATCTAACTGTCCAAGATGTACTGTGCCAAGAAACCACAGTATGGCATTCAAACTCCCTAAGCTAGTTCAATGTTGCAAACCATGAGGTTACTCTGGTATTGGCAGTCAGTGCTCCTCATGAATAAATGAAAAGCGTGCCACATGTTACTACTTCAGAGAATGAATACCACTGTGAACAATGCCAAAGCTGAAGACTTAGGACATCTGAATTGCCAAAACTGGAAACTAACTTTTAACCTGAAAAACAATGTGACTTGTGTATAAAAATAAAAATAATAGTAATCTGATCAGAACATTTTCTTTTAGCATTTTTAATTCATTGCTAAATGCAAATAAGCAAAATAGCAGGTAAACTTGGATACAGTATAGAATACTGTGATTCTAGTGTCTTGGCTGAGCTACTTAACTGTGCTATTTGCATTCACCTTTTGAAATGTAGTAATATAATTTGGGGGGGGTTATTTTTCATTTGTGGGT